TTAGTCTTATTTAGAGGAGGAAAGGGTGAGGATGGGGGCAGGTGGGCAGGGCCAGCCAGAGGTGGTATTTGCCGGTTCTCCGAACTGCTCAAAATTTCCACTGGCTGAATGCCATCTCTGCACTGGAGTATAAAGAGATATGGATATATGTGAAGATGGATGATAATTTCAGTATTTTGAATACCGATAGTTTTGACTTACAACCAATTGCTTAGCAACCTGTCAAAATTATGATAGTTCTACTTGTGGGATACTTATGATCCAGAATCAATGATCTAATGATTGCCCCCTGTGGTCATGTGATCACACTTCAATTACTTGGAAACTGAGCATTTGCAGCATCCCTCAGATATTGCATTTTATGCCGGTTTTGCCAAAAACTGGTATTTATTTTAGATTTTTGACAACTGGCCCATAGCAGGCCACAGCTTAGCTTAACAGCTGCAACCTTCACTTAATGACTATGACAAAGAAGGTCATAAAGTCAAGTTGTCCACATAGATGGTCTGATTTATGATCTTCATGAGTTATGACTGTAATGGGTAGTCTCTATTGGGATCACGTCAAAGATTGTCTTTGAACAAATTTGGAAAAACATTTTGGTTTTTCAGTTTATAGGAGATGCCATGTCTCCAATATTTTAGTTGATTGTAGATCTGTGAACAAGGGACTATGGTTAGATTCTATTAACAGACTTTAAACCATTGTTACTCTATAATTCATTTTCTATAATCAATTTCAAGCACCAGGAACTGTTAATTGTCATGTCAAGTCTTTATTGTGTCCTTTTACCTGAATTTGATTCAACTTTGTCTGTTTCTATTGAGTAATCAAATAACAACTGGTTTTGGCAGCACTCCTAGAATTTTAGTATCTATCTCACATGAGCTTCTGTCAGCATTATATTCAGGTACATAAATAACTAGTTGAAGTTAAAAGGAACAGCAAAAGTTGGAAGGCAAATTAAAAAAAAACTTTCAGTATCTCAACAAACAAAGAAATACAGCTGCTGGCAAATGAACCAGCAAATAGAATATTTATATATTCTCTTTTTTTAGAAGTGAATCATCTGCATGTACATAATGGCCATTAATTATTTACCTGTAGAATGTTTGAGCCCTTTTTTTTTTGTCTTTCCACCAGACTAATCATTATAATCATAGAATGTGTAGATCAGATCTTCTCTTGCCTCAAGGAAGGGAGGCTACAGTGTGTAGGGAGCATACCAAAAAAGTGAATAGAGCATATGGACAGAGCTGGTAGTAGTATTATCTGTTCGTTTCCTAGGTCTTCAGTAATAGAAACTATGTTTTATTTAATTTTCACAGGGGCTGGTTGGCATCCTAAGAACCCTCCTTTACCTTTTTAATGAATTTCTAACAAATTTTAATCAATCTTCCATCCTTTTAAATTTTCTAAATTTTTATATGTTGTTTTTATATTTTAACATTTTATTGTATTCCACACAGAGTCCCTCCCTGAGAGAGATGGGCAATTCAAAAATGTAATAAGTGAATAAATAAATAAAAATAATTCATAGAGACTATTCAGGAGAATACAGTTGTTAGATATCAAAGGACTATTGAGAGATTGAGCAGAATCAACACTTCTTCATCAAAAAGGAAAAAAGAGTGTGATGGTTCATGTGGTTAGGACAATGAGTTGGAGGTTAGCAAAGCTCATGTTTGAGATCCGAGTGTTGCTGCAGGTGGGCAGGGTGAGCTCCTGTCATTTGCTCCAGCTCCTTAATGCATGAAATGGTGATGTCACTGGCTAATCTTTGCAACCTAGAAACGTCTTAAATGGTGTCTCCAACATGAAAGGGACAGGGGGACGAAAAAGGAAAACAAAAGAAGTTGGTATTAATTAATAAAATATTCTGAGGGAAAATTTCCCCCCCCCCATAAATCTAATAACCTTAACCAATTCAAACCAAATTGATTGGTAACAGTATTGTACAACTTAGTTCCAGTATAATAACTTCAGTTTAATAAAAGGACAGCCTAGAGAATTGTTAATAAGATGCTCTCCTGATTATACACCTTTCTTATTGCATCCCCTTGAGATAATTGTGAATTCAAGATAATAATTTATTAGTGCTCTTTTGGTACTTTATTAGGCCAGTGGGATTTGTTACCAAGGGGTTGCTGTGGCTACATTCATGTTACCTTGATTATGCCTCTTTAAAAAAAATAGGATGAATATAAAGATTGACCATATCTTGTCCGGCTTTTATTTCTCCTTCTTCTAAATTTCTAAATTTATAATTAACAGCTATTATTGATTATATGCCCATTTTGGGAGGAACTGTTTGCATGAAATACTTTGAATTATTTGACTCATAACAAAAATATTAATTATATTTAACATTTTGGGGTATTTGGCGTCTCTTTAGGTCACAGGAGATTGAAATGATTCTGTCACATGTTGAAAGACAGATTTCAAGAAAAATGGCATTGTATTTTGTATGTATGAAAACCCAAATAAAACTTTATTTTTTTAAAAAAAGAATAATGGCATTGCATAGAAAAGAAGGTTCTGTGCTACTGTGCCAAGTTGCCATGGTTACTGAGCACTGCTTCATGGGAATTTCCTGGCTTTACTTTAAGATTATTTTTAAACTGAATTTTGCTGCATTTCTCCTCACCTCTCCCTGTGTCCACCAAAAGATTGTTTTCTATTTTTATATTAACACCAAATCAGGTACTATATAGATCATTACAATGCAGTGATAAAAGTAGTACAATGTGTATCTGGGAAGATCATAGGGCTTCCAGCCAGAATTTCTATAAATAGATATTCTCATAGATATCTCTGGTGCACATTTACTAGTTTGCAAGCAAGAATGCAAAATAGAGTCATCTCAGTTCCATGGAAATAGTAAGGTTGGCTTTTTGTGTTATATATCAAGTCAAAAGATCACAATATAGTCACAAAAAGAAATTACCGTATCTGATTCTACTTGCTTATGGAGGAATAAGTAAGAGAAATATGAGCAAGGCTTGGAGGCTCTTTTCAATCTGCCTTGAGATTTTTTTTAATGATCTACAGTAGAAGGCAGCATTTTATTCTTTACCTAGAATACAACATTCATTCTTGGTAGTATTCTTCCATTTTTCCAAATTTATTGATTGTCTTGGCCTTCATACAGTATCATAAACTTAATATATAAAGGGAAGATTTAATATATAGACTGTTGATGCTTTATGATTGGAATGTCTTAAATTGCATTTTTTACTTTGCATCTTTTACATGAAAAGAAACATAATTCATTTGTAACTTATTTTAAGCTTGTTTACATTTTATTTTCAAATAACAGTATATTATTTACAAAAAGTGTAGATATTAAATCAATATTATACAACACAATCCTGTTGTGTTGCCAATTTCTGTTTCTATTCATAAGTGAACCTTGTTATGTTTAGTTACATTTTCTCCAAATAAGTGTGCCCAAAATTACATCTTACACTTGATATATGCCTTTCCCTCCCTGCCTAGCAACATTTTATTTATTTGATTGTTATAAATACTGACAATAAACTGAGCCAATATGCTGTGCTCACATTATTCTTGACTATTGGCTATATTTCTTAGCCTGCACCTGCACTCAAATACAAAGAAGGACACAAATGAGGAATAGGTGCATTTTGGTATCACTGACCTGAATTCTGAATCTTCCTGTCACAGGATATTACTTTTAAGGCAGACTTTGCCCCATCACCTCATGCCCCAAGAACCGATAATTGTAAAGTAAAGCTTCTCATAATGATAGGACCTGAAGGATTACTCTGAAGGCTGCAGAAAGCTTCTGTATTGTGCTGAAGCATCATCTCCTCTTCTTTCATACTGAAAAATCCAGCTGGCTTTCAGATTTGTTCAAGATCTGATTCTTTCTACTTTGTTATGCTATTGTATCTGGCTTGTTTTGACCTTGTTGCATGTGACTTTTTTCACCTGCAGTTATGCTGCCCTGTTTCACAAATTTCATTATTTTTAATTCAGCAGAGGACAAAGTATTTTAAAGTAAATGAACAAACCTTCCAGCAGTATGCCATGGATAGGTGTTCAAGTACAGTGATCTCTGATCTGAGAACAGAACAATTGAAAATATGACTTTTTATATATTGGAATTATTGAAGAATATGATAGAAAGAGCAAATAAAATAGAATGAGGAAAATATGTGTACTAATGACATATTGCATTTTTATTTTAAATAACACCAGAAAACTTGAAAAAGAGGCATATGGAGGATAACATATATTTTTTGTTTGTAAGGGGGAGAGTTTTATGAGCTAAACTTTGAGTATGACCAAATACTTAAACTTCCTAATGCATTTTGCTGCTATTATCATAGGCATGTTATCTTACTTAACAGAGGTGACAAATTACAATCAACAGTAATTAGAACATCATCCTAAAATTTTAAAAGTGATAAAATTATCTTAATAAATCAAATAATTTAGCAAAAGATGTCTGGTTGATGATATCATTAATTTTATTACTCTATTAATGAAAAGTTGGATGTATTTGGTAACCAAAACCAAAATGTTTTCAATACTTCCATTAATAGGACACACAGTGATGATAGCAAGCAGTTAAAAATGATCCAATTGTAAATACATCTGGATAATGGAATTTCTGTTCATGGAGGAAAATAAACATTTTTAAGTCTTCCTTGTCACTAATCTGTAGAACAATAAATGTCTTGAACTAGAGGCCAGGTTATCTGAGAGATTGCTTCTTCCAGATTACATTTACTCAAATCTGGCAGGAAGGGCAAGTTGTATGTCTTGTTTAAAAGGGTGTTCCATCTGTCAGGATCTAGGACAGGGGTGTCAAACTCGCAGCCCGTGGGCCAGATGCATCATGCACTAGCCACCCCACCCCCCACCCCCAATTTAGCGAAGGAGAAAAAGTTGCAATATATCAGGTGATGACAATGTGATGCCACAAGTTTGACACTCTTGATCTAGGACATGAACACTTGCCCTTTGAGAACATCGTGAGCCTCTGTGGCACATTGATTAGAGTGTAGTACTGCAAGCTACTTCTGCAGCCAGCTGCCTACAATTTGGCAGTTCAAATCCCACCAGGCTCAAGGTGGGTAAAATGAGGACCCAGTTTGTTGGGGGCAATATGTTGACTCTGTAAACCGCTTAGAGAGGGCTGTAAAGCACTACAAAGTGATATATAAACCTAAGTGCTATTGCTATTGCTATCATCCCTCACTAGATATTAGGCCTGACCCTTTTGATCATCTGAAAATCCCTCAAAATTTGTTCTTTTTCTGCAAGCTTAGGATCCCTGGTAAGGGGAGGCCTGCATATTGGCTATATTATATGTAATATTGGCCCTCATGATCTTGTTTTACTTATGTTTACTGTTTTTATAGAATGTTTTAATTGATAGTTTTATTGTATGCCACCCAGAGTCACTTTATGGGTGGTCATATACATTTGAGAAATAAATAAAAAATATGATTTCATGTAAATATAAACAAGTATTATACAAACATACTTTCTGATATAATACATTACTATTTTTTATGGAAGAAATAAATATGTGAAATCTTTTCAGTTTCCTTTAGAACAACATTTGGCCTTTAAATTGTTTGTCCCTCTAAGCCAGGGGTCCCCAACCACCGGGCCCCAGACCGGGACCAGTCCCTGGATCATTTTTTACCGGGCTGCCAGTTTTCTGGGCACCACCATCTTGTTTCAACAGAAAGTGCTTCTGGGTGAGCTTTTCCGGTTGGAAAGCGGCATTTGGGTCCTGAAGGAATCCTCGCGCCTTAGTTTCATTGAAGGGGGGGGCGCTTCAAATGAAGAGCCGTCCCGATGGCGGAGGAGATCAAAAAAACACAAAAAAGGTACAAAGGAGGAGTTGAAGGTGGCGGGGAGAAGCGGGGGACGGCTGGCTGGCCGGTCGCTCGGCTCACCTTGCCTTGTCATGCATGCTGATGCCTGTACCGGGCCGTGGGTCATTTTGTGATGCCGGTACCGGGCCGTGGCACAAAAAAGGTTGGGGGACACTGCTCTAAGCCACTTCCTTCCATGTTACCCCTTGAAGTGTAATAGACATGGAACTTTTGTTTTGGATATACAAAGATTTAACTCTAGAAGAAACATAACTAGAAAAAATAGTTCCCTTTCATTGATCCTTTGTTACCAAAAATAGAACTCAGTAGGCTGCTGTGTGAAAAAGTGATTGCTCCAAATTTGGTATAATTTAGTTGTTAACAAAAATCACATCCTATACTGTTAAGAGGCTGCTCTGTATTTTTCATAATCCATAAGCAATAAATATATCGACAGAATCAACATATCACAGTAGGTTACACTGAGAACTAGTTTTAGCTTAGGGCAATGCAGAGGTGGACTACACTTATGTTAACAACTGGTTCTCTGATTGTGAGCATGTGTGTGCTCACTTCACTTGCAGCTGCATTTCGGGATGAAATGCAGCTTCAAACATGCAGCTAATCTACACAGGCAGCTCTGGTGGGCAGCATGGGCAGGGGGGGAATAAGGCAGAAAGTTAGTTATATATGGAAAGGATAGCAAAGGGGTGGGTAGGCAGGCCCAGCCTGTGATCACAACTACTAGTTCACCTGAACTGGTTTGACCAGCAGCAGCCCACCACTGAGACAATGTCTGAACTCTGTCATTGTGGCTTATAAATTATGGTATTAACTATAACACTACAGTTAAATGGTGGCTTATCCAATAAAGAAAGCTTTAAAATTTGTGAGTGTCCAGATATTTTTTCCTTAACCTTTACAGCTAATAAGATGGGCATGTTATTAATGCCAAAATGATCCATGCTAGTTATCACTGACAATACATTTATTATATTAATGATACATTGTGCAAAACAAAACAAAATACTTTTAAAAGAACTTTTAACCAATTTGATTTGACAACCATAGGTTGTAGTGTTTTGAAACAGAAGATATAACTAGTAACAGACACAATTATTTCTAACACATATGAGCTTACAAAATGTTTAGTATTTAAAGTATATGGTAGCAAGTGTTTTGTTAGCCAGAATTTCAATTTTTTCTCATACTTCTACAAGCATAATTTAGAATACAAGCAATGCATGAAAGTTTGAGGCTGTCTAATTACAGTGAATTTACCAGAGCAATAAACAAACCTAATTTCCAACCCTATAATGCTTTTCTTAACTTAGGTTTAACAAAAAAACCCTGCCATTTCAATCAACCCAATCTTTCCAATGTCACCAAGAAAAGCAGCTGGTATCTCTCATTTTTTGGGAAGCAGGGGGACAGAAGCTGATGGAAGGCATTATTTTGCTTAGTGGGGCTGACCCTTAGAATGCCTCTCCCTTTTCCCCATAGAAGGCTTGTTTGGATTCAATGTTATCTGCCTTCCAGAAACAAATGAAAACAGAGCTTTCCTGGAGGGCATTTAGGGTTGATACCACATACTGTTTTTGAATGTGTATTTAGTGTTTATGTTATTATGATGATCATGGTTCTGCATTGTCTTCTTTTGTGAGCTACCAGGAATTACTTGTAATTGCAGCAACACATATCAATAACATTTAATGAGATAAAATAAGTAATTAAATACATTTTTATATTAAGATGATTCAAAATAACCCTGAGTATTAAATGCTGATGGGAATCTCATGGGAGTTTTGCTCTGCACATCAAAATATATATCATTGCTAGAGTGGATATCATATAAGTTTAATGCTAATTATATACTTTGTAACTCTAGATTTTAAACCCTCTTTTTTAGTTCTAAGGAAGATATTTCCTATTGTTCAATATTTTTTTTAAAGATAGAACAATCAGGAGTTATATTCCATATTCTAAATATAATACATCATACACTGGTAGAGTATTGTATGATTTTTACAAAACTGGACAAACTGGATTTGAAATTATTCCAAAGTAGTTACAAAATTGTAATCTAATTCCATCCTCACAGTTCTCACTGGGAATTTTTATGCAGGAAGAATAAATGACCCTGTCACAGCCAAGCAGTATTTTCCTCTAGGAACAAATTTAGGTTTGGCCAAATGCTAAAGAAATTCTCATAGCATGAATTGAAATCAAGCTAGAGAAGAGTTACCACATCATTTTTCATTTCTGTGTAGAATGATAGCAAGACCTCTCGTCACTCCAGGACCTGCAATTTAAAGAGTTGGGTACAGAATAAGGGCAAGTTCTGCAGTCTCCAAATAGTCATCTTGATGACCCCTAATTATGTTCCCTGCCTATTCTCAGCATTCTGAGGTTAGCAAGAGTGGAGCTGATTGCTCAGCCAATTTCAAAACACTTTGGAGAAATGGGAAGTGCAAACAACACAGTATAGAAATGCCCAATGAGCCATCCTTTAACTGATAGCTAACGTACTCCGACTCCATTGTATATTGGGAAGATTTTTGTAAGCTATAAGCAAAATAATAGGGTTTTTTTTTGTTTATTCTGATAGTAGCTCAATCACTCCTTTAATCTTTACATTTTACAGACTCTTGTTCATAAACTTTTTTCTTCTACAATTCTGCAACAGAATTAAAACACTGTTCAAATTATATGCTCAGAGTGAATATATTCTTGTTTTTGGGGGGAGTCTCTGAGCTTGGTTATTTGCTGACAGACACTGCTTTACCCAATTAGATTACATCTTCAATGCTACAAGGGTGTGAGGTTTGCTGTCTGTTTATACACAACAGCTTACCTTATCAGGGTTGGTGGGAATGTGGTTTTCTGTTTGGTAATTCCTTGATTAGTCTGATTCTTACTGAAGAGATAATAGTAAAGGCTTCCCCTGCCCAGTCATGCTTATCTCGATTTCTTAGCCGATGGAGCCAGCATTGTCCAAAAACATTTCCATGGTCACATGGCCAGCATGACTCTATGCTGAGGCTCACGGAACGCTGTTCCCTTCCCATCAAAGAGGTTCCTATTTATCAACTTGCATTTGTATACTTTCAAACTACAGGTAGTCCTCGACTTACAACAGTTTGTTTAGTGACTATTCAAAGTTACAGTGACACTGAAAAATGTGATTCATGACCATTTTTCATAGATATAATCTTTAAACATCCCCAGGATTATGAGATCAAAATTCAGATGCTTGGCAACTGGTTCATATTTATGACCTTTGCTGTATCCCAGAGTCATGTGATCCCCTTTTGTGAACTTCTGACAAGCAAAGTTAATGGGAAAGCCAGATTCATTAATAATCAGGTTACTAACTTATCAAGTGCAGTGATTCACTTAACAATTTTAGCAGGAACAGTTGTAAACTGAAGCAAAACTCGCTTAACAATTTTGGCAGGAACACTTGTAAACTGAGGCAAAACTCACTTAACAAATGTCTCACTTAACGACAGAAATGTTGGGCTCAATTGTGGCCGTAAGTCAAGGACTACCTGTATTAGATGGGTAGGATCTGGGGCACATAACAGAACACCGCATTGTGTAGTGCTTGGGTCTCAATCCCAGGCTGTCAGCTTTCCATCTAACAAGCTAAGCATCTTTGACCATTGAGCCACCATGCCCCTGGCTCCTTATTGAAGATGTTACCTAATCTGGTAATGAAATGCCTGCAAGCAAGCAACCAAGCTCAGAGATACTAAGGATCTAATTCAGAGCTACACATTCTTCTATTGATACTTGTGCTTTTCTTCTAATATTGATCTAATACATGTTAGAATAGGGAGACAGTTTCTTGCATGAAATGAACTGTCAGTTTAGCATTGTTTTTCATAATCCACTGTAAATCTTTGATGTGAAGTTCTCTAAGAAAGAGGTGTTGCAAACCCCTTGACCTGATTCATTGCGCTATATTTTTCAGGTAAATTGACTTTTGCAAAGGAAAACATTTACAGAAATGGAACTTGTGAACCATAGAAAACAGTTGTTTACCAAACACTAGGCTAGATGAAAAATGTTCTTTCTTTGATCCTTGTGCTGCTCAAAGTATTACTAACTGATTTGCCTGTGGTGTAAAACCTCTGAATGCCATATTTTTTTTTTGCAGAATATCATTCCATCTGTTTTATCACATTCCAGAAGCATAGCATTATTAATCTTTGTGAAACACTCTTGCTGGTTTCAGGCTTC